CCCAAGCTAGGGGACGGGCGGCTGTCGGTCAGGCCTGAGGGCCGTTAGATCGGGGGTACGCGAACATCTCCCTAGGGCGCTCAGACAGTCCGAGTGCAGCTAGATTCGATGCCGTTTCCCTTGCAGTGGTGAAGAATTACTTCCAGCGGCGGGAGTTCTCCTTCACGCTGCGCGATGACATCTACGTCCGGTACCAGTCCTTCAACAGCCCCCAGGAGCTGGAGAAAGAGATGCAGAAAATGAACCCCTACAAGATCGACGTGGGAGCCGTGTATTCGCATCGAGTGAGTCCGGACTGAGAGATCCGGTATTCTCCGGCCTGGTCTATGCGTAAAACATCCCTCAATATAGCGATAGAGCTCCAGGGTCTAAAAATCCACCCCCCTGAGCCCCTCAGCTCTGCCAGCCCAACCCAGGGTGTAGATCCATCTTGATGGATGGACGAATGCTAGCGTCACTGGGGGAAGTGGAGTTCCTTGCGTCTACACGATGAGTTTACAGCAGGATAGCTATGGCACAGTAGCCGTGCCACTCTAGCGCCTGGAGTGTAGACAGGCAGGTCACTGAGGTGGCTTATCATTTTTCTTTATCGATGGGGAAACTGAGGCACAGAGGGATATGGCTAAGCTGGGGAAAGGGATGACCTTGTTAATTATAGACCTGACCTCGTTCCCAGGTAATATAATGGCGCTGCTGATACGGGACTCGATAAATAAAGAATTGAAGGAGGATAATATAATTAATGCCAATTAACGTGGGTTTGTGGAAAACAGATCTTGTCAAAGTAGCTTGGGATCTTTTTCCGATGAGACCGCAAGTTGGGTTGATAATGGTCATAGTGTTGATGTAACCCAGCGGCTCTCAACTTTCCCAGATGACTGTCCCCCTTTCAGGAGTCCCAATTTGTCTGGTGTACCCCCAATTTCACCTCCCCTAAAAAGTACTTGCTTACAAAATCAGACAAAAATACAGAAGTGTCACAGCGCACTATTACTGACGGTCTCATTTTTACCATATAATTTTAAAATAAATCAATTGGGATATAAATATTGTACTAACATTTCTGTGTATGGTATATAGAACAGTATAATCAAGTCATTGTCTGTATGAAATGTTAGTTTGTACTGAGTTCGCCAGTGCGTTTTACGTAGCCTTTTGTAAAACCAGGCAAATACCTAGATGAGTTGACGTCCCCCTGGAAGATCCCTGCGTATGCCTGGTTGAGAACCACTGATGTAATCGACTTCTGCGAGGTGTTTGACTTGGTACCACGTGCCATTCTGATTAAGAAACTACAACGATGCTAAATCAACACGGCACGTGTTAAATGGGTTCAAAATTGGCTGACTGCCGGGACTCGAATAGTAATTGTAAACAGGGAATTATCACTGAGAGGCTGCGTTTCTAGAGGGGTCCCTCGGGTTGGTTCTTGACCCTATGTCACTGAACGTTTTTATCAGTGACCTGGAAGGAAACGTCGAATCGTCACTGACGAAGTTGGCAGATGACACAAAAGTTGGGAGCGTGGTAAATAACGAAGAGGACAGGTGACTGACACAGGGCGACCTGGGTTGCTTGCTACACTGGACGCATGCGAACTGTGTTTTTAGTAGGGACTAATGTAGAGTCGTACACCTAGGAACGAAGACTCCCAGGCCCTCTGCTCTAACCATTTGACCATACTACTCCTGGAGCTTGGGATAGAACCCAGGAGTTGATTCATATTCTCCATCCCCTGCACCAACCATCGGACCAGCAGGAGATCCTAGGAGTCCTGACTCCCAGCCCCTCTGCTTAACCATTTGACCAGTTGTTCTCTATCAGGGGTACGTGAGGTCTTCTGGGGGTACATCAGCTCATCTAGATATTTGCCTTGTTTTACAACAGGCGACATAAAAAGCCCCAGCGAAGTCAGGACAAACTACAATTTCCTACAGACAATGACTTGTTTAGACTGATCTGTACGCTAGACACTGAAATGTCAGGACAAGATTTATATTCCAGTCGATTTAGGAAGTCAGCAATGTTTCAACAACAGTGTGGCTGTAACACTTTAGTATTTTGACGTCTGATTTTCTAAGCAAGTAATTTTAAGTGAGGTGAAACTTGGGGGTCCGCAAGACAAATCGGACTCCTGAAAGGGGGACAGTGGTCTGGAAAAGTTGAGAGCCAGCCCCTGCATTTGACTATCCTGCCCTCCCAGAGCTGGGTCTAGAACCCAGGAATCTTGACTCCCAGTCTGGTTCGGGAAGTGCCATTTGTGTGGCAGGATCCCTGGTGCAGCGTGGGGTGTGCGTGACGCTGCTTCCTCCCCACCGACAGAGAGAATGAAAGCTGAGCGAGGTGCTAACCCCCCGGGGCTGGGAGAACATCACAAAATCCTCTGTCGCACCAGCCGCCACAAGGGCTGGTGGCCAAACCGATCCCCGTTGCCTTGTGATGCAGCAACTCGGGTGGCGCGTGAACGCAACGCCGCTGGCTTAGCAGGTCACGTGGAGGGATCCCCGGCCAAACCGGCAGTCGCCCGCGCGGCCCCCCACGGCCGTCGAAACTGACCCGTTCCTCCCCTTCTGCAGCCCAGCCAGCGCAACACCGTGCACATGGGCGCCTTCCAGGCTCAGGAGAAGGAGCTGGTGTTCGACATAGACATGACGGATTACGACGACGTCCGGAGATGCTGCAGGTATTTGCTCTTGCCATCCGCTCCAGTGAGCACAGACGTGTTGTGAGACAGTCCCTGTTCCAACCAGCTTGCTGTGTAAAGAGATGAAGCAGACAAAGGAACCCCATGTTACAGATGGGGAAACTGAGGCACGGGGTCGGGCCAAGGTCACAAATGCGCTGCTCCAGAGAGTTCCCACCCTGGCTATGACCAAGGGGTAGGCAACGGGGCATGGTTCTGACAGCAGGACTCTGTGGCTGCTTGGTCAGCCGTGCCCGGGGCATGGAGGTTTATATTGTGGAAGGCCCATGCTTACCCTGTCTTGCTTCTGTGCCACTCTCCTTTCAGCTCCGCCGAGATCTGCTCCAAGTGTTGGACCCTTATGACCATCGCGATCCGTGTCATCGACCGCGCGCTCGTGGGCAAGTACCGGCCGCGCCCCTTGGGTCCAAATGCTGCTGTATTGGCCAGTCTGCGTGGCACCGTTGGGGCTCTGACGTTTCCTCTCTAACCGTGTCCCGAGCGTCTGCGGTGGTGTCTTCCCCCAAGCTCTCCAGGGAATCCAAACTCCACCTGGCTGAGAGCAGGGTGACCAGATAGCAAGTGTGAAAAATTGGGATAGTGGGTGGGGGGTAATAGAAGCCTATATAGGAAAAAGCCCCAAATCTCGGGACTGTCCCTATAAAATCGGGACATCTGGTCACCCTAGCTGAGAGCCGCCTTGGCGACCCATTTCAGCTGCCGGGCATGTGGCGGTGAGACCCTCAGAGACTACAGTTCCCAGTATGCACTGCAGATCGAGATGGCGCATTGCATGCTGGGATATGTAGACCACATATATATTGGCGAGAGCCGGGCGGGCTCCTTTGGCCCACTCAGCACGAGCGGTGCTGTTCGCACTGGGCTCCTGACCAGCTCTCGGTGTCATTTATGATGCCGCTCGTTTTAACCCGTTTGCCAACAGGGATACGGGCTAAGCCAGGCAGGGCACATGGGATGCAGAATAAAACAGGGCCTCCCTCGGGTCTGTTTGCAGACTCCAGAACGTAACCCAACGTGTCCAGGCCCTCTGTGGGCCCCAGCGGGGCCAAGAATTCTGCTCCACGGAGCTTTACCCGTGTCTTGCACGATCTTTCTTGTTTCCAACCCGAGCCTTGCGCTGACTTTGCTCCGTGTCCTCCCTGCAGAGGATTTCGGGGTGAAGCACCGCCTGTGGGTGTATTCGGGCCGGCGAGGCGTCCACTGCTGGGTGTGTGATGACTCCGTCCGGAAGTGGTCGTGCGCCATGCGCACCGCGGCGGTGGAGTATCTCACCCTCGTGAAGGTGCGTGGGAGTTGACGGGACAGGGGCTGGGCTGAGAAACTGGCTGCGTCCCGTCTCTCTTCCGAAGCCAGGCAACGCAAATATGGGGCCTGTCGGTCGCGGGGGCTCGTCTGGCCCCGGTCACGGTGGTATCAGCAATGGCTTTATCCTCACCCCCCTGAGAGGCAGGGCGGTGCTGCCCCCCCCCCCCATTTGTACAACTGAGTCAGAGCCGGTGTGTCTACACTGCAAAAAAAATTAAGACCCACGACATCGAGTCTGAGGCCAGGTCTGCAGACTCAGGCTTGTGGGGGTCTAATCTCCGGGGTGTCCGTGGTTGATCCGGAGCTTGGACCCCAGCTGGAGCTGTGAGCATTCAGGGTCCTCTGCAGATGGTGCCCTCGAGCCAGAATCTTCTATCCTCCTCGCTCAGCGCCCGGTTTCCGGGTAAGGGGAGGGGTTGGGCTGGACGAACCGTCTCCTCTTTTGCATCCCAGGGCGGGTCCGAAACCGTGAAGAAGGTGAACCTGACCGACCCCATTCACCCGTTCATCAGGTCAGTTGCCGTGACGCTGGATGGCGTCTCATGTACCCCAGCCTGGCGTGCCTTGCTCATTGGGCCTGGGTCTCGGTCGTATTCATGCACCTCTGTGCCACTTAGAGCAGCTTAAAGTGGGTGAGAATGACTCCCTGGGAGACCCCCATGCTGGGGCCCTCCCCAATCTGGCGTGGAGCAAGACGTCAGGGGCTCTGCATCTGCTCTGTGTCCAGCCCCTGGCATAGGGGGCAGGTGAGGGTGTGACAAGATCACACTGAGTTATGGCTAATCTCTGCTTCCTGAGGGCCACAGGGAGAGGAGTGTACGTTGGAGCAGCCCTGGGGCTGCTCTAAGTTAACCAGGAGCCAGGCATGATCCTGCACGGTCCCAGAATACAGCTGAGGTCCCCCTCTCCCTATCTGCAGGGAGGAAGTAGTTGAGCGTCCGGCCCGCCATGTGGTGGTAGAGGCGTCAGGGGTAAATCCAGGCATTGTGTTGCCTTCCTCTGCTCCTTAGCTCTCTCACCCCCCGCCCCCCCTTGTTTCCCCAGCCACTCGCTGAGTCTGGTGGAGCCGTACTTCGAAGACTACGCCCTGGTGGGCCAGGATATCCTGGGCAGCAGCGAGAGCTGGGAGAAGGTGGTTGCCCTCGTCCCAGAATATATCCTTCGGCTGTTCGCGGGGGCCTTTCTGCAGCTCAGCGGATGGGGCGGCAAGAACTCGAGGGTCCTGGTTCTTGGGGTCGCCCGAG